TGATGTGACAACAGTTTTATTTTTATTATTAGTATTCGTATTATTATTAGTAGTAGTAGTGTTTGATTTAACTGATGCATGATGTAATGGATGAATTCTTGGTTCATAATCTTTACTACGATAATCAACAAGAGTTACATCAGCTATGGAACGAGCATGTCGACTTAATATTCGCAATGAATCAAATTTATTACGTAATGAAAGACTTCCAGTATTTAAATGAAGATTTAATGGTGAAGAAAATTGTTCGAAAAAACTTGATGAAGAACTATCACATATACTCATTAATGGTAAACATGCAAAACTTAATACAAAACCAAGTATTAAACCAACAATAATTGATAATATATAACGAGATTTTAGACGATGACGATGCATAAGAGATGTCGTTTTATGACGAGATGAACCAGCCATTATTTTTTTTTTTTGTTTTAAAGATTTTAAAGCACCGGAATAAAGAAGCACCGCTCGAATTAATTAAATCGTATAAAATATATTTAAACTAATTGATAGAATTAAATATTTTAGAATCATATTATGTTGTTATATTTAAAAGAAAAGAACTCTGTAAAATTAAAAAAAAAATTTTTTTATAGTTCTTTTCACGTTATAAAGATTATTTTTTTTAATAATCTTACTCACTTTTTTGATGTATACGCATGATTTTAATGAATAGTTTTACGCGTTCTTTCACTATTATAACGAAAAAGAAGACTGCAGGCCATGCAATGAGAATCGAAGAAATGAAAAAAAAATATATTTTACTTTTTTTTTTTTTTTTTGTTTGCCGATGTTCGATCACAGAAATACAATCATTCTCTATAGTTTCTATCACATACGATGCATATATGCGCAAAGAGAACGATCAAAGAGAAAAAAAATGCCCTTATGTTATGTACATATCGTCTTTAGATGTTCATACAGCAGTAAGACTAGTAGTTGATGATGTCGTATGAATTGAGACATATATCCATGGAGAGAAGAACAAAAAGAAAATACCTTTAAGGCAAATCATGACGGATGAGATCATTTGTTTATGTCAGCGTAGATTTTTGAGTGCTTCTCAAACATAACCAAATGAAAAATGCTGATATATTTTTCAAGAAATAAAATAATCATAAAGAGATAATATCTTTATTAGTTAGCCTAATGTCGAACAATTTCAATACATTTCTATAAACGTTAAAAAATCATTTTATTTAAACTATTTGAGTAATTCATGATGATTTATTATGTGATGATTCAATTTATTTATTTTTGTATTATTACTAATTTTACACCTAATGCTTGTTGTTAACTTCTACACATATAAAGAATTTCTATCGTCATTTTCTCATTAACTGTTAATTGAAAAGAATAAAAGGTAGATCTGTTGAAATAACAATATAATTGTACTAAACTATTCATTTGAGGTAATTATATTCACTTAATAGATTGTATTATATACATATCAAATACAATCATGTCTTATATATACATGAAAACTGTTTTGGTGAATAAAAGAAAAAAAAATATTTCGTCTTAAACTGTTATTAATAGTACAAAATAAATGCATATAAATTCTATTCTAAAGGATTATTTTTATACATAGTTATTGTCATTTAACTATCAATTTTCATATGTGTTGAAGAGTAAAAAAACAAGCAAAAGAATCAATTGTATTAATAGACATTACAATTCACGATATATCAAAAACATATTCATACAATGAACAAATATATTTCTATAATAATAAAAAAACAAAATATGGATCATTTTACAATTCTATTTTACTTTGGATTAACATTCATACCTTTCTGATTAAATCCGATCAACTTTAATATAAATGTTTGCAATCGACTTCTCTCTCTCTCTCTCTCACCTATCTTGACGACCTACAGGTATTCCTGACTTAAAGTACAAAATTATGAAAGTAAATATTACCTCTAATGAATACTATTGAAGTGTTTCATGCAAAATTCAAACTTTTTTTTTTTGATAGGTCTTAAACGATATTTGACTACATGTGAGTGAGTTGCAACTTTTTGATAGGATTGAAAGGTTAGTTGTATTTGGCCAATAAGTTTTGTTCCACTCAATCAATTTGGACGATTTTTTTCACTTGTTTTCTTTTCCCTCTAACTGTTTCACACCAAATTTCAGCTCTCTACATCAGATGGTCGCTGAAACGTCATTTTTTTTTGTCGATGATATGTGTGAAGAGAAGGAAACCTTTTGAGTATAATAAAACAAGTGAAGAATGATATAAATAGCTCAGTTTGTACAGCATTCAATGCTCTTTTATAATATATACGTTATTTAAATTTTATTTTTTTCTTCTTTTCTTGTCAAATGTTCACATTATTTGACAGACACTTGTATATTTTTATGTAGAATGACATAAACTCAATTCAAATTCTCTTTGTGACAGAGCTGGCAGCAAACAAATCATATGAAAAGAGAGAGATCGCTTGCAGTAACAAAACTGGTAAAAAAGAATTTTCTCTTATTAGTTTTGTTTTAGAGAAAAAAAAATAATAGGACTTATTAAAAAATCGGTTATTATACTCTGTAGAGTAATATTTTCAAAAATTGCTTGTTCCATTACTTGTCAATGTGTTGTTCAATTTGAACCAAAGTTTTACAGTAGATGTAAAACAAAAGGTTATAGAAATAATGAAAATTTCAGCTCTTGATCTTTTTACTGTTTAGGAGAAATTTATATTATCGTGCAAAATATAGAGTGACGTTTTTTCAGTAGATATTTCCAATTGAATCGATCCAAAAATATTCTTTTCAAGTGTAAGCTAACTCATTTGAATGTGATGAACAAATTTAAGTGTATTGCGGGCTGTTCCTAATTACTTATTTTCTATCCAAAGGTGAATCGAATCTTTTCAATGAAGAAAGTCAATTTTATAATTGCATGAAGCAGAAATTAAACTATAAAACGTAGATTTCTCTTCTTGCTACAAAAATTTGATTCTTTTTTTTCAGCTTCTACTGCAGAGTTATATTCCATAAAAAAATCAAGGGAAAATCTTTCTTAGTTTGAGAAAAAATTCAATTTTACTAGCAAAATGTGGAGCAACATTTGTCAAAGTATTTATACATTAACGAGGGAAATTCTCCAACTATCTAATTGCTTTTACGACTAGACTATGTGCAATATGTTGATCAAAATAAGCTATGAATACCCTTAAAAGAGTTTCATGCTTTTAACTTATTGCTGCGCAGATACTGTACTTTTGCGGGATCTTTTAAAATTAATGGCGTGGTCTTCCTTGGAAAAGCGAGAGACACTGGTTTTCAAATTTCGACTTGAAAATACAACTATGGTATTAACATGTCTTTTACATCGCTCATATAAATCAGCAGATTTGATGTTCTTATTTAAGGATTGAAGCAAATCAAAAGATCTACAACTTTCACAATAAACTACTTTTAATAAGATCTGTCTCTTTGCAAAGTTTCAAGTCGAAATTCAAAAATAAATTTTCCTCGTGTTCCTGAGAGGAACCAAGGCATTCATTTAAAAAGTGCAATAGTTCCACATCAATAACCTAAGGACACAAAAATACACATGGTCTAGATTCAACAACGATTGGACAGTTGAAGAACTTCCCATATAAGACTGATTAATATATGCAAATAGCAAACAGAAATCGGATCTCTATCGAGAACTGTTTTGCCATATCATCATTTTCGTATCTATATTACAACCAAAAAAAGCATCTAGTGCTAACTTGACAAGACTTTCAATGTAAGAATGTATTTATCGGTCGTTCTTATCCATAACCACCGACATGTCTATCTTATGAATTTTATCATAATAAAAGATATGTATGTCAATTCAAATACCAACACAAGGACGTATTGGGAAAATATTATTTTATTACACATTCCACATTCCTCTATTGAATACAATGCTTAATTTTCTTGTATTATTAAACTTATTGTTTATCGATTTTTTTTTTTCGTCGAATGGTACAATGATTGTACTCTTCACTCATGATATTAAACAAGGTAGATAGATTATTAAGATATATTTTTTTAATGCAAAAAAAAAACTTATGAATATATGCTATTGTCATTGCACAAAATCATTAATTAAAGGGATAAAAAAAAGAAAAGAAAAAAAAAGAATGAATGATTAAAGAGAAATAATAATGATGGCACATCATTAAGATAGGGTAAGGAAATATGGTATGCGTGCAAATGAAGAAGGTTGTTGTTGTTGTTGTTGTTTGTTTTTGTTTGAAAAAGATGATAAAAGAAAAAAACAAACAAAATGTTTCAATTGATGATTTTCTTCTTCTTCTTCTTCCTCTTCTAATTTAGAAACATTTACGATGGACAATTGATGGACCAGCTTCATCATATTCTTGTTTTGAAATCCACATTTGTTGAAATGTTGATAATGAAGCCAAAATTGAACCACCAATCCATACTGAATATTTACGTTCAGGTGGTGCAATAATTTTAATTTTCATTGTTGATGGAGCCAAAGCTGTTATTTCTTTTTGCATACGATCAGCAATACCAGGATACATTGAAGTACCTAATTAAAAATTCGAATTTTTTTATAAAAAAAAAAATTTCTTTTTTGCCTTTACCTCCTGATAAAACTGTATTAGCATATAAATCTTTACGAATATCAATATCGCATTTCATGATTGAATTAAATGTTGTTTCATGAATACCAGCAACTTCCATACCCTACAATTATATATTAATAATAAAAATAAAAATAAAAAAAAAAATTCTTTTTTTTTTTCTTTACCAAAAATGATGGTTGAAAGAGTGATTCTGGACAACGGAAACGTTCGTTACCAATGGTAATAACTTGACCATCAGGTAATTCATAACTTTTTTCTAATGATGATGTTGATGCAGCTGTTGCCATTTCTTGTTCAAAATCTAATGCAACATAACATAATTTTTCTTTTATGTCTCGGACAATTTCACGTTCAGCTGTTGTTACAAATGAATAACCACGTTCAGTAAGAATTTTCATTAAATAATCAGTTAAATCACGACCAGCTAAATCAAGACGAAGAATAGCATGAGGTAATGCATAACCTTCATAGATAGGTACATCATGTGTAACACCATCGCCTGAATCAAGAACAATACCAGTTGTACGACCACTAGCATAAAGTGAAAGTACAGCTTGAATAGCAACATACATAGCTAGCAAAGAAAGAAAAAAAGACAAAATCAAATTGTTGTTATTTTTTTTCTCAATGAAATAATTTTACCTGGTGAATTAAATGTTTCAAACATGATTTGTGTCATTTTTTCACGGTTAGCCTTTGGATTAAGTGGAGCTTCAGTAAGAAGGACAGGATGTTCTTCTGGTGCAACACGAAGTTCATTATAGAAAGTATGATGCCATATTTTTTCAATATCATCCCAATTTGTAATAATACCAT